AGCTCACCGGAATAACCTAACCGTCGAGCTAATCCACCGTGACTCTCCCCATTCTCCACTATACAACCCTCTCCACACCATCTCCGACCGTCTCAACGCCGCTTTCCTCCGCTCAATCTCACGTTCTCGCCAATTTTCAACCAAAACCGATCTCCAATCCGGTTTAATCGCAAACGGCGGCGAATACTTCATGAGCATATCAATCGGTACACCACCGTCTAAAGTCCTAGCCATCGCCGACACGGGAAGTGACCTAACTTGGGTCCAATGCAAACCATGTCAACAATGCTACAAACAAAACAGTCCAATCTTCGACAAGAAGAAATCTTCGACCTACAAAACCGAGTCATGTGAATCCAAAGCATGCCGCGAGTTGTCCGAACACGAAGAAGGATGCGACGAATCGCGCGACATCTGCAAGTACCGTTACTCTTACGGAGACGAATCGTTCACGAAAGGAGACATTGCAACCGAAACATTCTCTATCGACTCTTCCTCTGGCTCCCCTGTTTCTTTCCCTGGTACAATCTTCGGTTGTGGTTACAACAACGGCGGTACGTTCGAAGAAACCGGTTCGGGAATCATCGGACTCGGAGGCGGTCCGTTATCTATAGTCTCTCAGCTCGGTTCTTCGATAGGGAAGAAATTCTCTTATTGCTTGTCACACACGTCATCTACAACAAACGGCACAAGCGTTATAAACCTAGGAACCAACTCGATACCTTCCAGCTCAAGCAAAGATTCCGCGGTGCTCACGACTCCGTTAATCGAAAAAACCCCGAAGACTTACTATTTACTAACTCTCGAAGCAATCACCGTCGGTAAAACCAAGCTCCCATACACCGGAGAATACGGTTTAAACACCGGAAAGAAGACTACCACGGGGAACATCATAATCGATACGGGGACGACTCTTACGCTACTCGAATCCGGATTCTACGATGGTTTTGGATCGGCGGTGGAAGAATCAGTGACCGGAGCTAAACGTGTGAGTGATCCACAAGGGAATTTACCATACTGTTTCAAAACCGGAGACAAAGTAATCGGTTTACCGGAGATAACAATGCATTTCACAGGAGCCGACGTGAAGCTGAGTCCGTTAAACGCGTTCGTGAGAGTGAGTGAAGATATGGTTTGCTTGAGTATGATTCCGACAACGGAAGTTGCTATCTACGGGAACTTAGTTCAGATGGATTTTCTTGTCGGATATGACCTTAAGAAGAAAACGGTGTCGTTTCAGCGGATGGATTGCTCTGATAACTTGTGAAGAAGCCAAAACGGTGTCGTTGAGGAGCGAGTTTTTTAAATTATAATCTGATTATTCATAATTATTGCTAATTAAATGAATATTCAGTATCAATAAAATATCTCTATTTTCTTAATGACCTGTTAAATTCGAATAATACATACTAGTGAAGCCAGACCGACCAAGTCGATCGACTTATTATTTAAAGTTTAAAAAAAAAAAAAGAGACTAATTATTTTAATTTGAATAATTTTTTCTTCTGAAGTTAAATGATAACCTCACGTTGAAAAGGAAAGTAGGCAAATAAACAAAAGAAATAGAGATATAAAAATAGTTTTCTTCTTGTTTCGGTCCAATAAATATATTTGCCATAAGAATAAGCTTTTAAATAAATTAAAATAAAAAAATTTAAGACCGATTAAAATTTGGGAAGAAATAATATAGTGAACGAGTACCAAATTTAAGACCACTCATAAAGAAAGTGTTGAAATTGAACCGAAGGAGAGTTAGCTTCAACTTTCCTCCACTATCAATTTCCATTGTCGTTTCCTTTTCGTTTCAGAGACTGTTACCTCTAAAGAGTTTTTAAGGATCTATGGGCGAATAAAAACTTTAACTTTCTCTCTCTACTTCCTCTCTCTGAGAAATTTCAACTACCCCTCTTTTTGGTTCCTCTCGATCTATATCGATTTGTACTGAAGAAACTGAGTTTCGTTACTGAGGAAGAAGGGAAAGAGTTCGAATTTGTTTTTGGGTCTTCTTAGTTTTTCATTTTTTCAGACATGGAAGCCATAAGAAAGCAAGCAGCGAAGCTTAGAGAGCAAGTCGCGAGACAACAACAAGTGGGTCTTTTTGTTTGTCGCTGTTCTTAGATTTAGTGAGAAATATCTGGAAAGTTTTTCAATAAAGTTGGAATCTTTGAAGTGTTGATGTTGAATATATATATATAAGTCTTTGACGGTAGATAGGTTTGGTGATGATTTGTTGACGTATGAATTTGGTTATTTTTAGGTACTTTTTTACTTGTTTTAGGCATTGATTTTGGCATTTTTTGGAAGTGATTTTAGGGTAAAGATTACGTTATAATTTCAGACCAAGATTCAAGTGGTTTTTGGTTTTTGTGCAGGCGGTTTTGAAGCATTTAGGGCATGCTAATGCGGATTTTGTTGTTGTTGATGAAGAAGAGCTTCATTGTCATCAGAAACTTCAAGATCTGTATAGCTCTACTAAGGCTGCAAAGGTTTAAAGAAAGTTTATTTTAGCTGGAAATTTCATGATTTGGTGTTTTTTTAATCCTAACTTCTTGTGTTCATAGCGTTTGCAAAGGAATATTGTTCGTGGACTCGAAGGTTTCATTGCGACAGGCTCGAAAGTTGTAGAGATAGGTAAGTTCTTTGTTTCTTACTTTGTCTCTTTTGCGTATGTAATATATTTCTTGGGATCACGTTTTGGAATGTTGTGATACACTACACAGGGTTGAAGTTTGCGGAAGATTTTAAGAAATATGGAGATGAGAATCCTGATGCTAATACTCCTCTTTCAAGAATTGCACATCTATTTGGGACCTCGTACAAGTCGGTCGAAGATGAGAGGGAAACTCTCCTCGGAATTCTTAGTGAGCAGGTGAAATTTATGAACATAATTCATTTCAGGTCTCTTGAAAACTTTGGTAATGTAATTATAGGTTCATATTTAATAGAGCTTCAAGGGTTTGATTTTGTTTAGGTTTGTGAGCCAATTCGTGCAATGATATATAGTGCGCCTTTGGAGGATGCTCGGCATTTAGTGAATCACTATGACAGGCTGAGACAAGAAGTCGAAGCTCAGGTAAAAGTCTTTTTGACATTCTCTTGGGGCAGTTTGAGATTTCTTGGGGCGTTTACCATACATGGGGAAAAAACGGTTTATTGAACAGGCAACTGATGTACTGAGGAGACGATCGAAGTTGAAGGAATCGGATGTTTCTGAAGAAACCTATATGAAGCTTAAGAATTCCGAATCGAGATTAGCTGAGCTCAAATCGAGTATGAAAACTCTTGGCAAAGAAGCTACTAAGGCCATGTTGGAAGTCGATGAAAAGCAGCAGAACGTAACTTATCAGCGCCTCCGTGCTCTGGTAATCTCTGCTTTAATCATATCTAAGCTCATGATTATCTACGGATCCCTGGATTAGACGAATATCAAGCTAATGAAATGAAACTACCATGCAGGTTGAAGCTGAGAGATCATATCATCGTAATGCTCTTGATATCCTCGATAAGCTACATTCGGAGGTTAGTAACTTGCTCTATGATAAACTGCAAACAATTTGTTCGTAGTCGCTTGATCTGGTCATCTTTTTGTTCAGATGATTGCTGAGGAAGAAGCTATAGAATCATCACCAAAGTCACTACCTTTACATTTAGAGGACAGTGTTTCTCATTCCAAAGAAGAAACGAATTCAAATCCCCGGAGAGAGGTCAAATCAAATCACCGAGAAGAAATCAAGTCTCATCCCCAAGAAGTAACCAAATCCAAGTCCAAGGACGAAGCAAAGTCTAGTCCTCAAAAGGAAACCAAGACCAGTCCCAAGGACGAAATGAAGTCTAGTCCTCAAAAGGAAACCAAATCCAATCCTCAGAAAGAAATCAAGTCAAGTCCCCAAGAAGAGATCAAAAACTCCAATGGATCTGATGATCATCACAACCATCAACTTCTCGGTCAAAATGATTCCTACTTTCTTGCGAAGGTAAAGCCTTTCGAAACACTTAAACTCGGTTTAAGCAATTACACAAATCCCGGGGGGAAGCTGAATATGTTTTCTTGTTTCGACAGGTTGTGCATCCGTTTGATGCTCAAGCACCAGGCGAGCTGAGTCTCGCAGTAGATGATTATGTAATCGTTCGACAGGTACATTTCCTGCGACATTTTTTATCCAACAATACATACAAAACATATGTAAGTAACAATCTTGGTGATATTGTGTGTTGATGAAACAAAACTCAGGTCGCTGGGACAGGCTGGTCAGAAGGAGAATACAAGGGCAAAGCCGGATGGTTTCCTTCGGCTTATGTCGAGAAACAAGAGAAAGCTCCGGCGAGTAAGATTGTGGAAACAAACCCCAAGCAGCAATGATCTATGTTCTTGTAACATATACACATATATACATAATGTATGATATGTTTCCACTGAGTAAATATGATTCTGATGAATCTGTGTAAGAGATGATTGTGTGTGTTTATCATGTATCATCATAGTCCACTCTTGAGTTTGTGAGTTTGTTACTTTCTTCTGTAATTTTTACTCTGATAATGATAATGAATCTTTCTTGTTTTATTTAGTTTCTTGAAACTGAATCGAGTTTGATCTTAAAGACTGTTTCTGGTATGCAGAAGAAGATCAGTTTCTCTACAAAAGTTCACAACTTTACATTTTCTTTGTTTAAAGTTTAAACCTTTAAAAGCTTCACGCCTAGTAAAGAAAAAAACAAACTTCAACGTTTTCTTGTGTTCTGTACGCAAGTAAGGAATTGACATGAACATGGGTTCTGTACAAACTCCATCACTTATAATGTACAATAAGATGCTCAAATCTTGTGTCGAGACTAAAAGCTTCACGAAAGTTTTGTCTTTGTTCAGTGAATTGCGAGGACAAGGTTTGTATCCGGATAATTTCACTTTACCTGTTGTTCTGAAATCGATTGGACGATTAAAGAAGGTTTTAGAAGGTGAGAAAGTCCATTGTTATGCTGTGAAAGCTGGGTTTGAGTTCGATTCTTACGTAAGTAATTCGCTCATGGGAATGTATGCATCATTGGGAAAGATGGAGATCACTCATAAAGTGTTCGATGAAATGCCTGAACGAGATGTTATTTCTTGGAATGGGTTGATTTCTAGTTATGTTGGGCATGGGAGGTTTGAGGATGCTATTTCTGTTTTTAAGCGGATGAGTCGGGAGAGCAATTTGAAGCCCGATGAAGGTACAATTGTGAGTACTCTTTCAGCTTGTTCAGCGTTGAAGAATTTGGAAATTGGTGAAGGGATTCACAATTATGTTGTGACAGAGTTTGAGATGAGTGTTAAGATTGGGAATGCATTGGTGGATATGTTCTGTAAATGCGGGTGTCTCGATAAGGCTAAGGCGGTTTTCGATTCGATGAGAAGCAAAAATGTAAAGTGTTGGACTAGCTTGGTTTCTGGGTATGTTAGTAATGGTAGGATTGATGAGGGTAGAGAATTGTTTGAGAGAAGTCCTGTAAAAGATGTTGTTCTGTGGACAGCTATGATGAATGGGTATGTTCAGTTTAACCGGTTTGGCGAGGCACTGGAACTGTTTAGGTGCATGCAAACTGAGGGAATCAGGCCGGATAATTTTGTGTTAGTCTCTCTCTTGAAAGGTTGCGCGCAGACGGGAGCTTTAGAGCAAGGGAAATGGATCCATGGGTATATATATGAGAACAGAGTTACAGTAGATAAAGTAGTTGGTACTGCTCTTGTAGACATGTATGCGAAATGTGGGTGCATAGAGACAGCTTTAGAGGTTTTTTATGAAACAAAGGAGAGAGATACGGCGTCTTGGACATCGCTCATTTACGGTCTTGCCATGAACGGGATGTCAGAGAGAGCGTTGGATTTGTATTACGAAATGGAAAATGTTGGTATTAGACTCGATGATATAACCTTTGTCGCGGTTTTAACAGCTTGTAATCATGGTGGATTTGTTGCAGAAGGACGTAGAATTTTCCATTCGATGACCAAAATATATAAGATTGAGCCTAAATCAGAGCACTGCAGCTGTCTGATTGACCTATTATGCAGAGCTGGATTGTTAGACGAAGCAGAGGAAATGATAGAGAAGATGCGAAATGAATGCGATGAAACTCTAGTTCCCGTGTACTGTTCTTTACTCAGTGCTGCTCGAAACCATGGGAATGTCAAGATAGCTGAACGAATAGCGGAAAAGCTCGAGAAAGTGGAAGTTAGTGATTCAAGTGCTCATACCTTACTCGCAAGTGTATATGCATCTGCTAATAAATGGGAAGATGTAACAAATGTGAGAAGGAAAATGAAAGATTTGGGAATCAGAAAGTTTCCTGGTTGCAGCTCCATTGAGGTTGATGGGGCTTCTCATGAATTTATTGTTGGAGATTCATCATCTCACCCAAAAATGTATGAGATAAAGTCATTGTTACATCAAACTACAAATTGGATGTTGAGTTTGGAACATGAAGAAATTGAAAGTTGAAACTTTCTTTGTGTGTTATGAATGCATCAGTGTTGAATCTGATACTGTTTATTGAGTAATGTCACAAAGTATAATAGAAAGAAGATGAAAGAAGAAGAAACATGGATTATTCAAAAGAACAATTCAGAGGCAGAGTATTTCTACAAAAGGTCACAACTATACATTTCAATTTCATTGTTCAAATAAAAGTTTTTTTTTTTTTTACCAAAAATCAGAAGAAAAAAAGGGATGAGAATGAATTGGCTTGAACCTTGTAAAAACTGGGGAAACATAAATGACAACACAACACAAAGTCAAAGACTCTGTTCCATTACTGGAAAAATGATGGTTCTTCATTGGCAATTGCAGGTTTTCTTGGGGGAGCAACGGAGCAAATACCGATATTGAATAGACACGAGGCACTTGAAGCTTATCCCCAGAAACCAGACGCTGTTTTTTCTTTCTCGGGTTTTCGGTTGGTGGATTCATTGCAATCAATCGGAGCTGGAATCATAAAAGTCGCTGGGACAAGGAGTCATGACCTCTGATTCAAGTAACTGGACAACCCGATGCATCGTGGGGCGCTCTTCTGGTATCGAAGAGACGCACTGAGTTGCTATTGATAGAAGAGCATCAAGGCTCTCTATCTGCATTCCTTCGCAGTTTGGATCAACAATCTCCCTTGGCCGGTTTTCGCTTATTAAGAACTTTAGCTGCAGAGAGCATCAACCAAAAGCTTTAGTTTTAGTCCAAGATCATCGAATCAGAATATCAACATCAAAAAAAGGATCTCATTCGCTTACCCAACCAACAACGTTAAGGCCCTTTTCGATGAATGAAGCATCAGTTGGCCGTTTCCCACTCAAGACTTCAAGAACCAAAACCCCGAAACTGTAAACATCTGTTTTCTCGGTTGCTCTACCGCTTTGCATATATTCTGTTATCAGGAAGTCAAATGAGAAACTGTATCATTCGACGATCAAATCTTTATGTAAGTAAAGACTCTTAAATGGATTTATTTACCTGGAGCTAAGTACCCAAAAGTGCCAGCAACAATGGTTGTAATATGAGATTCTTCGTCTTCCAACAACTTGGCAAGACCAAAATCCGATACCCGAGCCTCGAGATTGCCATCGAGCAAAATGTTGCTCGACTTTATATCACGATGTATAATCCTAGGAGAACAATCATGATGCAAGTATGATAACCCTTTCGCAGCTCCTATGATGATATTTACTCGCGAATCCCAGTCCAATTGCTCGCCTCTCTCTACTAATTCAAGAACCGAACTTTCTCAGTGATACAGTTCACAATATGGTGAGAGCCGTAAAGCGAAGATATGTCTTACCATGAAGTGCTTCATCGAGGCTACCACCGGGCAAGTAATCATATAACAGTAGCTTTGATGTTGGAGAATTGCAGTATCCACGTAGATTCACAAGGTATCGGTGCTTGATGCTCCCAAGAATCTCAAGCTCCCTCTCAAAAAACCGATCAAACCCTTCGTTTAACTTTACAATCCTCTTCAAAGCGAAAACATTGCCATCATCCATGGACAGCTTATACACCATTCCAAAGCCTCCACAGCCGATTATGTGCTCTTCATTCAACATTTCCAGCTTTTTAATGATGTCTTTGGAAGAGTAAGGCAAATCTCCATGGAACATCACAATAGACGCACCTGGATTTAGTAGTCATATTGAAGCTTTAGGAGATACAAGAATTTGAAGATTTCAAATTTTTTAGGAGATAATATCTACAAAAAAAAATCAAAATCAAAATAGCTCACTTCCACCAACGGCCATTGCAAGGCTTTTACTCTCGACTTTTTTACCGAGCTTTTTATATAGAAAGCATCCCCAGAAACACATGAGCGCCACTAGGAGCAGCGCACCTACGGTTGCTGATGCACTAATAAGCAGTTTACCAGAGTTTTTCTTCTGATTTTGACCTATAATGTAGGAGACACCATACAAATATCAGGTATATTACTTAATTGATTGACCAGAAAATTGCTTGGAAACATAATTGCTTTACTTGTTGACTGGGAATTTGAAGAAGGGTTTCCACTATCATCTTGGCACACGACATCAATTTGCTTTCCACACAGATTAAGATTTCCAATGAAGCTGTAAAAATAACGCATCAGTTCGAGAACCTATCGCTTTCAGCTAGCAAAATGGTACTAGTACTACAGTTCAAAAATCTAAAGGCTTTATTTTTGAAACTCTACAAGGAGAAAAGGCTTTTATTGTCTTACGAGTTCTTAGAAAATCCAGAGAGCACTCCATCTGCAGGTATTTCCCCCTCCAGGAAGTTGTTTGAGACATTGCTTCACAAGAAGAATGAAACGAAGATTCAGAGGACTGAAATATGACAAATGACAGAGGAAGTTAGAGATTAAGATGCTCACAAGTTAGTAAGCTTTTTCAACCGCCCAAGCGAAGCAGGGATAGCTCCACGGAGAACATTGCTTGACATGTCCCTTCAGAATAAATTATAAAAGTGGGCAATCAGTTTTAGTAAAAAGAAGAGAACCACCAATATTTGAAATAAGAGACACCGGAGCAAACATTATCGTGCTTGTCAAATTCTAGTACGTTTAGAGGCACTCAATTTGAAAATAACAGAGCATGAGAAGACATTATACAGTCAACCATAACTTATAGTGATCCTAGATGGTGAGAGAAGTCAATGGAACAAAAACTAACAGATAATTACAGAGACCAAAAATACCGATGCTACAAATGTTTGGAAGAAGAAAAAGGAAAACAACATACAGCTTTTGAAGGCCAGGCAGGTCTCCCATTTCAGCTGGGATCTGTCCACTGATGTAGTTACTCTGCAAGTAACTGCAAGAAACAGGTGGAAATTTTTAATGAACATGAAAAATGGATTTGGTCTCTCAGAGACCATGTGGAATCAGTATAAATATCTTGGAGAAGCACTTACATTCCCTCCAATGCTGTGCAATTTCCCAATGATGTAGGTATTGGTCCATATAAAGCATTGTTGTGAAGCATTCTGAAACAACACACATATGATCAGCATCAGAGCATACTCTCAAGCAAGAAGGGTTGGAAATAAGGTTAAGAGATCACATACAAAAGCCTCAAATGGTCCAGCTTTCCAAGCTCAGGAGGTAAAATTCCATTTATTTTATGATAAGTAAGATTCCTGCGAAACAAGAAACATTAGGGACCTCACATATAATCCAAGAAAAGAAAAATAACGTTTCAAAAACTTACAAGGTTATAACTCTTTTCGTTTTCGCATCACAAGTGACTCCGTTCCATTTACATGGATCAGGATCCTCCGGTCTCCACTGATGAATGAAACTATCTGAACTACCAACTGCATTTCTAAAGCTTAGAAGCACCTCACCTGAAAGAATGTAACGTCAACAAAAAAAGGACTAAAAACTCTATAAAAAAAGGTCCAGAACAAGCCTATGAAAAGGTAACAGTGATTCATACCGTCAGAACTAATGGCTTGATTTTGATTAGATAGAGCAAAAAGCAATGAGATCAAAAGAAGCCATGAGAAGCAGCTTTTCATCTCACAGATGCCCATCATGGCACTGTCCAAGCATAATATAACTAGTAACGATCATTTGAAAGAAGAGCCTCTCAGATATTGTCCTTGTAACATATATACTTTAGCTAACTTTGATGATCCAAGTAAGAAACTTCGACTCCTGGAATACAAAACAAAAGAAATAAGCTTATACATTATCAGAAATTCTCAATTACACATCGATTGTAACTGTACAACTAGCTCTCTCCACACAAACTTTGCATGTTCTAAATCTACATTTTGAGTACACAGAAGAGTGAAATTGTCTAAAAACAGATCAAACCCAATTTCTTAAAACCAGAAGGAAAACAAACAAACAAAAAGGAGTGAAATTTTACCTCC